TAAAAAACATTGCTTATAAGGATATCTCAGCGACCAATGTGAGTTACTGCATCGCGATTGACACGCAAATGTTTGTACTAACGTTCCAGGAGATCTAATAGGTGTCACTTATGCTTTTTTTTTCCTTAGGGCTTATTTTAAAAGAAAAAAATTTATATTTTTATTGCTCGTTTGCATCATGTTCTAAATCTTATTTTAAAATTATTATATTTATAGTTGACGCCATACGTAAGGCAAACCTTTTAAAATCTTTTACTTGCATAAAACTTGCAACTAGTGGCACCTCTTAGAATTTTTGTGACCTTACGATAGGGCTGGAGTCGGCGACCATATAAAAAACATACGTTAGCCTTTACCCACACTTCTACACAAACAATAGTTGTATTTTACTAGGCTACCTTATTTTAGACACTTGCTAGACTAGGACTAAGATATAGGGCTAATATATAATTAGGTTTTCAATATGTGCCTGTTATTGTTGATGGTCTGTGCCTAGTCAGATATTTTTGTGTTGCCTTTCTGTATTTACCGGGATTGGACTTGCGCACTACTATATATAGGAGTGGCTTTTCTTGTAGTCCAATGAGAGAAGAGTTTTTATGATTTATGCTAAATCCTTTTCTGCAGGTGTTGTTAAGCTCTCTTTCCCGCCGAACATGGTCTATTTCACATTGCATGATATAGCCCATGCTAACCCTTGTTTTGCAGGTCAAGTCATTTTTTGACTTGTATTATGTATTCTCTTTAGAGTCCCTTAGGCTAAGTCTATACTTTAAATAAGGTACGGAAAACATTCTGAGGTGCATATGGAAATCACGTGACAGGGATCAGGAGCCGTTAGTTTGTACATCGTACCTTAAGTCTGAGTCTTGCATTGTATAGGCATTTAAGATGAGACATATATATGCAGAGCCAAACTGCCTTTTTGTCTTTTCTAAGATATATTGTCAACCCAGCGGTATCCGACCATTGTTTATTGATTATTCACGTAGTTTTGTTTATTTCATGTTGAGTGTTGTTATTTTCTCTTTCTTACCTTATGATTTGTCTGGGATGCTCAGCGAATATATAACTTAGGCTCTTTAAAAACCCTAAAATATAATCATCCAACAAAAAATCTTACTAATAAGAGATTGAGATGAATTAAAATTTAGAATTAAAATATTACAACTATTTAAAACAAGTACTTTTACTTTTCTGCAAGACCTTTGAGTCGATTTTAAAATAATTTGCATTGCATAGCCATGACCCAAGTTAGATTAATAGGGCCTCGACATTAAGACTACTCAAAATAACTGCATCATATTTGCATATCTCGAAGAGAAGCCCCAGTCCTTCTTCAACCTGCCTAACCCAGCATATGATTTGTACCTAAGTGGTTGTCTAGCACACCTAGGGTGTTCGAGGCTTCCTTAACCCATACAAGGTGTAACTCTTTTGTAAGAGTGTTTTGGCCATGTAGTCGGATCTCTCTTTTCCTTTCATTTCCAGTGACTTCCTTGTCACACATCTTTGAGCTCCACCTTTATAGGGTCATAGGGAATAGAGTTTCTTTCTCTTATTCTCAGGGCTACCAAGGCCTCCATGGACGACGCAATTCATGGATAGCTGATAATGAACTTCTGGTCGGGTTGGGTCAACTATCTTCACGACCACGTAGACTTAGATTCTTAATAGCTTGAGATAACGGACCCATAGAGCCTTGATCCAGCTATCCAAATCGGAGTACGATTTCTCTGCCTATCATTTGTTAAGCCAAGTTGCCCTTTGTGACTTAGTTGAATTCGTCTCGATGGTCGTAATTGTCGATAGGTCGGCGTCCGTTTGGGATATGGAGATTCACCATCTGCCCTTATGGCCCGGTGAGCTTTGAAGCATGGGGATATTCTTGTTGATTTGACCAAATTATTTTCAAGGCCTAATTCGTCGACGTGTTGTCGTCCATTTGGGAATATGAGGGATTCACCCTCTCTCATTTGGTTCGATATAGGTTCCGGAGACGATGAGATGTCCCTAATTGAGATAACTGCATCCTTTGATGTACTTATTTTCACTACTTATCACTTATATGTAAGTAAGACCACTATAATCGAGAGTATTTTTGAGTATCCACCAAGATGTAACTAATCAAAGTGATACATCCCTTTGAGAGTTGCTCTTGACTTCATAACCAAAATATTCTCTTTGTTTCTCTAGTTATGAGTTGCTTATGAAGGGAATTTCTTCGTGGATATTGTATTTTCGAGGTATTTCGATCTGATTATATTTAAGACATAATCTCAACCTATCATACAAAGATTACCTCACATGAGCTATCCATGTTTTTTTTTTATGTTTGTCTATTTTCATCATATATTCCATCTTTTTTATTCATTTCTTCTTCGGATCATTTTTTATGATCTAGGAAAGAGATTTACATGAAAGTGAGAAATCATATGACGATATATATAAATAGACAAGCTGGCAACTCCGATATTCAATTGAAAAGAACCAAAAATTGTTTCACTAAATTCCGTTGAACACTATATATAAACCTCGTGAGGAAGTCGAAACACCTTATTAGGCTCAGCCAAAGAGTCACATCGGCACAAAATTGAGGACAAAATTTCAGAAATTAAACAAAATTTTATTTATAAAAAGAAATATTTTAGAACAAGGTTGTCTTCCGCCTCGGGCAGGACTAAACCCCAACTCAATAGACTCATGTACAACACACGCCCCCAAACTTATACTATTCAATTTTTTTTCCTCCTCCGCCCGGACAAAAGGAATCAAGTTGGTCGCCCGAACTTCTGCCAGTTCGCCTAAAACAATTTGCCACCTCTGCCCAAAGATCCTCCATACAAGCATGAAGGACCATCATTTCCTCCCTCAAGTCTGATATGACAGCCTCTCGCTGAAGACTGAATGCCTTGGCAAAAGAGTACATAGTTTTTTCCATGCGTCTCACCAGCGACTCATAGGACCCCCTTCGGTTGTCTGTTTCCCTCTCTGGGTCGGCTGAAGGGGGAGTTAGAGCCAAAAAAGGCTGTGAGACGGGCACCCACTTCAGCCACGACGGAGACAGAAAGAACAGCAAGAGCCTCTAGCTCGGGAAGACACTTGACACTTGTGGGCTGGAAGTTAATGATCCTAATGGTCCCCTCTGTAGCACTAGAATCGGTGTTATAAGAATAAATTAAAGGATCTAATAAGGAAAATATTGGTTACCAGTCAAGCACTCTAACTCTGACGTGAAGAAACTTTTGGAAGCAGGTGGAGGGGAGCCACCCTAGGCACCACCTTCGACCAAAGGCGGGAGAGGGGTGCCTTCCTTTAGCGGGGCTTCACCATGGATGACCTCCATCCAGACCGAATCCCCTACTGGATGAGAAGCGTCACCCTAAGCAAACTCCCTAGTTGGAGGTGGAATCAGAATGAACTCTGGCGGCGGAACTTGCGCAGCCATCACCATTTGCCCCTACTCCTGGGACGACAATTGAGTCGGGAGTTGGTGCAATGGCTCTGGAGCTAAACCAGGCACATCTGAAATACGCCCTCCTTTCCGACTCCTAACCTCCGGCAGTAGCAATGAGTCAGATGATCCTTCGACCCATCAATTCGTGGCAATGGCAATGAGAATGATTCTTCACCATCGGTTGTTTAAAAGATTTAGATCCCTAAAGCCTGGTTCTTTCGACCGACTCTTTGGTGTCAGATGTCTTCCTCTCATCTCCTTACCTTTTCTCAATCGGCCGGTCTCCCTCGTCAGCTCCCTTCTTTAAGATTGAACGATAACTTTCAGGTTTTTTCTTTCTCTCATCCCCAAAGCCATCGAAGCAAGAAGCCCAAAAGCCCTAATTAGCGCTTCTTCGCTCACTGGTCTCTTGGAGCTTGACATCCCTATTCATAAGTATAAACGACTTAAGAGCAGAAATTTTGGGAAAAGGAGAGAGAAAATTGTTAATCATGTCCTATTTATAAGGAAAACGGCACTGAAATAAAAAAAAAATACAATGATGGGCAATATTTATTATGCTTTAAGTAAACAATTATGTTATCTAATTTTCTTATTACTGTGGCACTTGTCACTTTCAAAGAAAAGAATTGGTGATATAATTATGTACATCAAAAATATGACTACACGAATCTCAAGAAGATCCAACGGATCGCACGAGAAAAGAAGCAGAAGTGGAAATATTCATCATAACATGAGTCGGCCGAATCTTAAGCTGAACGAACGAAAGTTTGACTGAACCAAAGATTACAGTGCTATTCAACCTGTGTCTGGCATTAGAAAGAACAACAGCTTCCCAGAAAGAATTCCTTTTAATAGGCTCATCAGTCAAAGGAATGTTGTCTATCTAATTACGTTAATGTGTCATCTGTCTAATGGAACGATCCTTCCCAAGAACAATGAGCCTTTGCATCAGAGAAGCGACTATAAGTCATTCAATCGCCGGATCAACTCTTGGCCGACCGAATGAACAAAAAGTGATCATACCAAACTTTTACAAACACGAAACGGTATCAAATACAGTTACAAAAATGGAACGATGCCAACAAAGATTACAAGGTCAAAGTATGACTAATTTAGTTACAAATATATAAAGATGTAATGGTTCATAATGACTCTAACGTTCCCATTAAAGAATGGACTATTATGTAATTTACTATACCCTTCCTATGACTTATAAATAAGAGTGTCATTTTCATGAAAAGGATAAATTCCTAGAGATTTAATTTTACTTAGGTCTCATCTTTCTACTCTCTTTTCTCAACCAATGTTCTATTCGTTAGACATGATCCACAAGAAATTTTGGGATTCAACACTTTGTTACCGTCTCGAAGAGTTTAAGTTAAATCCAGCTCGTAAATCCTGCAACCAAACAGCTCCTATTTACCCCAAAATTAATATCTTAACGAAGCATTTCACTCCCAATGATTGCAGAGTAACAAATTTGATTCACGTTTGCAGCAGTAACGAGTTCCAAAAGTCTAATTAAAAGAACCAAACAAACCTTGGCGAGATCCCGGCTTTGCTTCTTCACTGTTAAAGCAAGAGTATCCCGTTCCTTGACCAATTGAAGCTTTAATCATTCAATGACCCAAAAAAAAGTTTCAATGTCTAGCCATCGTATCTCACAAAAAATACCACTATCTTCAAAATCTTAAAAGCCTTACATTTTCCTCGAGCGCAAGACGCAGGCGGGATTCCGACTCCTGGAACAAGCGATCAAGCTCAATGAGCCGGTCCTGGAGAACGGCTACCATCTCATCCTTATCCGAGATACTCTTCCGGAGGCTTTCGGTCTCCGCCTCGAGCTGCGAGACACGGGAGGCGATAGCCATGGACGTGATCTTTCGGGCGAGATCTAACTGGTCGAAGGGATCCGTAGGAATTACCGAGAGAATCTCGTCCGGTAGGTGGAAGTCCGCGCCGTTTTTTGACATCTTGCCCGGCGAGTTCCAGAGAAACCTAGGCGTGCTTGGATCGGATGGAGGCAGGATTTCCGGCGGGGGAGGAAGGAAGGATTCAATTCGAGTCGTGGAGGCAAATGGATGCAGGGAATGGCTTGATGCACGAAAGTACACGAAGTCATGGATCAGCCGCTCACCGGGTTGGAGTGGTTTTTGTTCGGGTCGTATGTCGTATTCGGTTGGGAGAGTGAACTCGCAAAATACGCTTCCTACTTACTTCATTTGTCAAAATTAATGAAAGTTATTACTTATTAGGGAAGGATTAAATCATATGTGAGTGTGGAGGGTCTGTATGGGGCAGTTGTGGCTTATCAACAAGCTGCTCCAGAAGGCCGCTGCATGAATGCTGTTGCGATAAGCTTGTTGTTTGTTTGTTTTTTGCGGTTTGAAAACAACTGTGCGGCAGTTATTTCTGATCAAATGATCATTCTATCCAAGTATAATATTGTTGTTTGTAACTTAACTGTGATAGTCATATATTTGATGTTTCAGAAGTAAAAATTCACTTCATAACAGTACAAAAATTCATATAAATACCCCACTTAAAAGTGAGTATCAAGATTGCTAGAAAAGGAAAAAAATATATTAAAACTACAATTAGTTTAGTTAACTTAGCTCTTTTAACTGTATTTCATTTCGCACACATTAAATTTACTTTATATTTGATTAACTTAATTTTTATAGTTTGAATATTGTGTTTGACCTTATAGTCATAAGAATTCCAACTCACTGTGGAATCGATACTTAGAATTCAATTAGAGCCCTTTATTACTTGAGAGATACGTATATTTTCATTATCTTTATGGGTTTGGTAGCTTAAAAAATTTAAAAGATAAAATTATTTTACTTAAATTATTTTTATTGGGATTGAACTACATATTTATTATTAGTGCTAGCTAACCGCGATCACCCATGAACTATCTGAAATTCGATAAATAAATTCTGCGTCCAACCACATTAAAACCTCTTTCTTAACAACCTCTTTCATTATAGGATTTAATCTTCTTTGTAGATCATTTCTAGGTTTATGACTATATTCAATTAAAAGTCTATGCATAAAGATTGAAGGAATGATTCCTTTAATATCAACTAATGTATATTCAGAGGCTTTCTTATGATATTTTAATGTATCCAATAACTTTCATTCTTGTTCATCTATCAAATCTGAGGATATAATAATATGTAATGTAGATGAGTTCCCCAAAAATGCATACTTTAAACAAAAATGCATACTCCAAAAATGCATACTTTAAATGAGTAGGTAGAACTTTCATCTCAAGTTCAGGAGATTTTTCAATAGAATCTATCAAATGTTTACTATCTTCAATAATATCCAAAATTTCAAATTCTTCCTGAACAAAATTTAGCTCATCAGTGTTTTTCTCTTTTGATTCACTTACAAAATCCTTTTCAATTTTTAATGTTTTTTTGTACCAAAGTTACTTCATCTTTTTGATCTGATATGACTTCACATCTTTCTTGAAAATTATTAACAATCATTTAGCAAATTATATCCACTAAGTAACATTTACCATCTTATCCTTTATCAGGATATTTCATTGATTTATGCACATTAAAAGTCACTTCCTGATCATTAACTCTCATGATTGATTATCTTTTTGCACATCTATCATTGCACGTTCAACAGCTAGGAAAGGTCTCTCTAAAACAATAGGAATTTCTTTATCTTCTTCCATATCTAACATAATGAAATCAACAGGGAAGATAAATTTATCAACTTTAACTTTAACTAACACATCTTCTAACACATCTTCTATAACCCCTTTAGGATAAGTGATAGATCGATTAACTAGTTGTAGGGTTACAATAGTGGGAGAGATACCTCCTAAATCTACTCTTCTAAATATAATAATGACATGAGATTAAATTTTGCTCCTAAAATCACATAAAGCTTTTCCAAATAAAATTTATCCAATTACACATGGTATAGTGAAACTGTTAGGGTCTTTTGAGTTTTTGAGGAAGCTTTTTCTGAATTATTGCACTACACTCTTCATTAAGTGCAACTGTCTCATAATCTTCAAAATTCCTATTTTTATGTAAAATTTCTTTCATAAACTTTACATAACTTGGCATTTGTTCCAGAGCTTCTACAAAAGGAATATTAATTATAAGATTTTTAAATAATATCTCAAAAAATCTTGAAAATTTTTAATCAAGTTTTTACTGTCTAAGTCTTTGAAAAAAAGGAGATGGTGGTTTGTCTTCATTCTTCTTAATTGGAGAAACAAGTTTTTTCACTTTCCTAGGAATACTTTCTTCAGGATTTTTAGTTTCTTTATCTTTTTCCCTCAACTTTGATTTATTGTTAAAAACCAACACTCAATTCCTTCCCACTTCTTAGTTGGACAGCTTTAACTTGCTCTTGCTTATTTCTTTTATATTTAGGGTTGATCTCAACATTACTAGGAAGCGTTCGCTGAGGCCTATTGCTAAGCACGTTAGCAATTTGTCTCAATTGATTCTTTATGTTTCTTATAACAGCACTCTGACTTTGTAATTGATTACCCATTTGTAACACCACTTCTTCTAAAGGCAACTGCTTCTCCTTAACTTGGTGATTACTATTAAATCTAGGAGGATAAGTTGGTCTAAAGTTAGAATTACTCTGATTATTCCAGTTTCTCAAAAGGTTTATTTGGTTGTTCCCCCATTGTTGACTTTCACCACTATAATTGTTATTCTAGTTAAAGTTTGGATGGTTTTTCCAACCTGGGTTATAATAATTAGAATTTAAGTTATTGGGTCCATTAATAGCATTTATGGCTTCAAATGAATTTTGAGAATCAAGCATTTGTGATAATGAATTTTCTACAATCAAATGAGGTGTTTGAGAAAAATTCATTCCAATTTAGTCAATATTCCTAAATAATGCAACAACTTATGAAGCTACCATTGAAATAACATCTTTATTATGAATACTGACTACTTTCTTAGGATTTACCCTTTCCGAAGGCAATTAAAAATTATTTGTAGTCATTTCTTCAAATAAAGTAGAGGCTTCATCAAATGATTTAGACATTAATGAACCTCCAGCAGCGGCATCTATGATTGATCTAAGAGATCAAACTAACCCATTATAAAAAATTTTGAATAATTAACCAGTCTGGTTTAATTACACACTAGAGTGATTTCAAAAAGTGATGAGAAAAAGATTATTGACCGCATGTTTGATTTAAGGGCTAAAGGTCGATCTGGATTATTGAAGAAGAAGACATATTCAAAACCACAGAAATGGATGTAAGGAAAAGGCAGAATAATCATCGGGTGTGGTTGTTGTTACATTTTTGCAAAGGATAGGCAAAGGAACCCCCTCAGGAATTTTGAGAAATGACGGGGTGGATCCCATGACGTCCATGATAAAGAAAATGATTAAAAGAATGGTGGAATGACATATATTGCCAGTGGATTGTATTTTGAATAGTTGCATCATTAACATTTATGAAGAAGGAAATTGCATTCCTCCCCACATTGACCACCATGATTTTGTCAGACCGTTTTGCAAATTTTTATTTATGAGTAAGAGTAACATTTTGTTTGGGAAGGAGATACAGATTGTCGGGCCTGGGGAGTTTCGAGGACTTGTAGAGATTCCTCTGCTGTTAGGTTCAGTACTGGTTTTTAAAGAGAATGGAGCTTTAGCTAAGCACAACTTCCCCAGAGTCCCACACAGAAGAGTTTCAGTCACTTTACAAAGGATGGATTATAACAAGGTGTCGTATGGATATCGACCCAACCTGGACATGGAGGGGCTTCAACCATTGGAGCTGTGAGATAGCTGTACCTCTAAGTATACACAAGGAGACTTTAGTTTTGAAGTGTGGCTTAGGAGGTTAGCTTGATCACGAAATGAGCTCAGAAGACGAGTGAACTTTTCTTCCTTTATACTGTATCAGAGTAAACAACATATGATATACTAGATTCTAGTTTTCACATAGATGTACTTCTGATGTTTTGGGATTCCTTTCAGTAAATGATCAGTTGTACTACATGCTTGAAGTAGAATAAACAAAGTTTACTGTGTATTTTAGCATATGTTGTTGAATTGTTTTGTTTGTGCGATTGATAAGAAGTCACAGGACCAAATGTTGGTCCTAAACTATAACAAACAAACAATAAAAAGAAAATATGATAATGATTGAAAATTAAAATTCAAAATCAAAAGAGAAATAAGAAAAAAGAGCATCAAATTTTGAAAAATACTCTAATAATAAGAGAAAATGACAAAAATGATAAATGAATTCACTTGAAACTCCATACTCTTCATGACACAAATTCCACATTCTTCACACAATATTCCACAACTCTCACTCTCACAAGGTTTCATACTCTACTCAAGATTCCATGAATTTTCACCCTCTTTTCACAAGTTCTCTGCACTCACAATGCTCTCGGGGTTAGTACCTAAGTTCTGATTCCCATTCTTTCCGAGGTCGGCACCTAAATTTTGATTCTCTTTCCTAGTTTGGTACCTAAATTCCAATTCCTATCTTAGGGTTAGTACCTAAATTCTGATTACCATCCTTTCCAAGGTTGATACTTAAATTTCAATTCTCATTATAGGGTTGTTACCTAAATTTCAATTCCCATCTCGGGGTCAACACCTAAGCTTTGATTCTCATCCTTTATGAGGTCGGTACCTAAATTTTGATTCTCATTCCGGGTTGGTACCTGAATTCCAATTTTCAACTCAGGGTTAGAACCTAAATTCTGATTCCCATCCTTTTTGAGGTCGGTACAAAAATTTTGATTCTCATTCTGGGTTGGTAACTAAATTTCTATTCTCATCTCAGGGTCAGTAGCTACATTCTGATTCTCTCTGTTTCCTCTTGGGTTGGTTATGAGTCCCTGAGCTTTCTTTCCCAATGTAGAAAATTTAAATCCTCGGGGTCAGTACATAAATTCTGACTCCCACCCTGGGATCAGTATCTAAATTATGATTCCCTTCCCTTTGAGATCGGTGTGAGACTCCCTTTAATGGAGCAAGACATTTGACTATATTCTCAGCACTCAAGGCAGGTGTGAGACCCCCTTAAATGGAGCAAGGCATCCTAGTCCTCTTCTCAACACTCTGAGATAGGTATGAGACCACCTTAAATGGAGCAAGGCATCTGACTTTCTTCTCAA